TAAATTAGTTAATGAATTTATAAGATTTAGTGAAAATAATATTAAAGAGTTTGCTCTATGCAATAATTGTGCTGAAACAGATAGAATAAAGAGAAGAGAAAAATAGTATAGAGACATATCACCTGATGAAAAAAATATTTCGATGCCCACTGATGATAGTGACAACAAAAGTAGTGAGGATGATCTAATTTACAATATAAGTGATCTCGAAGAACTTATAGCCTTCAAATTTAGAGAATATAAAGAACTAGATGCCAACGTTAGTTTTTCAATAATCATAGAAATTAAAAATGAAACGGTGGATCAAAAAATTTTATCTTTGAAACCTGGTCAGATATAGAAAATAAAAAATTTCTCACTCTAGCAAAAATGTTGCTCATACCTATCCAAGAGGGATCCAGATACTATTGAAAAATTCAAAATTTGTACCCTAATATACAAGACAGTCAATATATAGGGTGTGCAACAGCTCATTTATGTTGTGCTCAAAGGTAAGATTTTAAATTTTGACACCTAAAAAAATTTTACATGAAAAACATATAAAATTTTTTTATAAACATTTAAAAAAAACCTCCACCGATAATAAATACAGTAAAGCCTTTATAAATACATCTCCTATAAGTGTACATCTACTCTATATGTATACACAAACTTGGGTCTAGCTATATAGGTAATCTCAATAAATGCACTTTTTCTTATTGTTCTCTAAGTGTATGTTAAAGTTTGCTCCCAGAAGTATGTACTTATAGAAGTTTTACTGTATAATCAAAATATTAAAATTTTGCAAAATTTAACTGGCAGATTATAAAATCCAATTAAGTTTGTAATTCTTTATTATTTAGATCTTTCCATTAATTGTCTAACATATTATCATATTGTTTCAAAATCTTTTCTAAATGTGTTTGCTTTTTGTCTATATTTCTTGTCAGAGATCAGATGATGCTGAAATTTAGTAGTCTCAATTTGAAACTATAGGCGCTACCAAAACCTACCTATACTTTTTTTATTAATAACTCACCCTAAATACTAACTTAACTATTAAAAATTTTTTTTAAAAATCATATATAAAATAGATCTAAATTTCAGCATCATCTGATTTCAACATCCCCAATATTTCTTATTCAATATACAAGAGAAGTTTTACCTATAAGATATTCATTAGGCTCCTTCTGAATAGTGCTACAAATTGCTAAAATTTTTTCAATTGATTAGTTGATTAATTATTTTTCAGTTGGTTGCAACTAATCAATGAGTTGTAACTAATCGATTAATCGATTAGTTGGTGTCTAAAAAGTTCAATCGATTAGTTGCCAGCTAACTAAAAAATAATTAATCAACTAATTGATTAATTCAATTTTCAATTTGTATCACTACTTTTGAATCTGTATGTTTCAAACTAAAAAATTTATTTAATTAAACTAATTTAATTGATTTATTATTATTTAAAGATCTGATCGCAAATATAAAAGGTCAGATAATTAACCTATAAAGTGTATAAGCGAAGCACAGCCTGCTATTCAACATTTTTATATAAGAAAATAATAAAACTTAAAATAGATTTGTGTAAGCAAAAAGCAACAATATCTATAAAACATTTGGCTCATGAATGTCCTACATATAAAAAAACAAAATTACCTAACAATACTATACTGTGGATACAACAAAATATTAATAATATTTTACAAAAAATTAAGGTTTATAAACGGCTTTGTAATGAGAAATTGATTAATTTGTCCATACATACTTACCACCAAGTATATTATTGGGTATGAAAATTCTCAGTAAGTCAATACATGACAGATGTTAAAAACCAATTAAATTTTGCAAAAAGTTTTTAGAACAAGAAGAATTAAAAAATGAGAGGTATAAGATTATTTTATACCGTAAGAATGAGTTCATGCATGCGCTTGGTTTTACCACACCATTTCTTCAATTTCAAGAAAATATCACAGAAATTGTTATTGACTCAATATTTAAGACAAACCAGTAGCAGTTTGAACTTTTTGCCGTAAATGTTAATTGTGGCGGGTATGGTGTTCCTTTTGCATATCTATATATAGATATATATACTGTACTAGGAGAACAGCTCTTAGATCCAAAGTATATATCATATAATAAAATTTTTTATAATCATATTAAAAATTTAAAATTTTAATTTTAAATTTTTAAAATTTTAGCAATGAGATATACACAAGAGTTGGTATACTTACCAAATTTTTTAAAAACTTGCGAAATGAACATGATTTACCTGTTTTCATGCTGCTTGACAAAGATACCAGAGAGATTTTAGCTGTTCGTACAGCTTGGTCTCAAATTACAGTAATTCAGCTTTGTTTCTGGCATATGAAACACGCAATTTGACGCAGATTAAAAGAAACAAAGGTTAGGTAAGTATGAGTTAATTTTAATTTTTTTTTTTTTTTTTGTAATTCTTTTTTTTTTATTTTTTCAATTTTTTTAAAAACTTTTTTTTTTACCATATTTTCATGTAATAACGCCCATGAGCATTATTTTGAATTTTGGCTCAAATTAAGTTTAATTTGTGCTAAAATTCGAAATTATACTCTGCGTGTTATTATTTAAAAATACAGTATTTTTTTACAATTTTTTTCTAAATCTTTTTTTTTATTTTTTTTATTCTTTTTTTAATTTTTTTTTGTATTTTTTCTTTTTAATTCACCTTTTTTAAATACAATTTAAGGAAAAGTCAGTATATGATGCAGAAGGCAAGTGAAGCTCATTCTCAATTTAATTTCATTGAACCTACGTGGATTCCTAATAATCAACAAAATATCAGGTGTTCTAAAGAATTAGAAGAAAGGTTATTAATAATGGTTACAAGGTATTCTATATTATATCCCTTATACTATTAGACAAAGATGTTTTTCTTATGACAGAACAGATTCAGTATCAAAGTGTTCTAGAAGTCTACCAATTCTGTTACCAAAATAACCTTGATAAGCTATAGAGTTATTTGTAGACAAACTGGTATGATATGAAAAATTGGAATTTGTTCACATGATCGTCCTATCCAAATACAATACCTATCACCCGAACTACTATGATTGTAGAATCACACTGCTATAGACTTAAACACAATTATAAATATACCGTATATTACCGAATAGAAGCTACCCCCGAATAAAAGCTACCCCCTCGATTTTGGATTAAAAATTTGGAGGAAGTGATTATGTTTTAATAATAAAATTGGACCCGAATAGAAGCTACTCCCTCCTTTTAGTCCGAAAAAACTCTCAAAATTTTGGTAGCTTCTATTCGGTAATATACGGTAATTGTAATAGGCCATGTCTAGATCATCTGACACAAATTATTACAAGAGAACTAGTTCCTGATATCAAAAATACTCAACGAAGATATCTCTACAATTGTGAATTTTCATCATATTGGGATTCATTTAAAGAAAACTGGAGGACTGCTATAGCAAAAAATATAAATGATGAAAATAATTATCATACTGATATAAGTTCTTGGCTTTGCTCTTGTCCTGCATTTATATATAATACTTATCTTATATGTAAACATCTAACAAAAACATATACGGCAGAGAATCCAAATTTTTTTTCTCAATTTAAAGCCACGGCATGTCATCACGATTATCTATTTATTACCTTTAATAAAGAAAATCTTACAAGAATTCATCCAAAAAATAATCCTTGGAATAACATTCTACAAGGTAGTGAAATGAAATTCAATCCAGAATCTGAAGTATCAAGTAGTTATAATATTATTTTATCTACCTCTGAGTGCTATGTAGAAATTGAAAGTAGAAAAGCAGAATTAATAGAAGATATGAAAGCATTCGAAACATTGGTGAAAATTATAACTAATAATATTAAAAATAACAAGCTCTATGAAGTATATACAACTCTTAAGAAGCCTCTTATCGCTGAAGTTGCTGCATATAACAAAGTTCTTAATGCAAGAACACAACAAAAAACCTGGGATAAATCAAAAATTGGAAAATTAGCTTTTTGGCTTCAGTAGGCTTCGTCAAAACTAAAAATTAAATCTTATGGTTTTGGCTTCAATAGGCTTCGTCAAAACTAAAAATTAGATCTTATAGATACGAACTCTGTTACTTAAAGTAATATCCCTGTATTTATTTTTGTAATAA